TGAACGGAGGAAACTTCTCGGATGAGAAGCGAAACGCTTTCAAGCAAAAAAACAAAAAAGGGTCCAGCCGCCTTGCAAAAACTACCTTCGGCCAACCATAAACCCCCCACGTCTGAGACTCTCTCCAGAGTCCAGGGGTAGGCAACCTTGGCTCTTTTATGACTCGTGGACTTCAACTCCCAGAATTCCTGAGCCAGCCAAGCTGGCTCAGGAATTCTGGGAATTGAAGTCCACAGTGCCTCGGGAGGTTTTAACCCCGCCCCTTAGCTCACGAGCTCCTCCTCTTCCTCTCTGGCATCTCCGCCCCTTCCTTTTTCTCGTTCCTGCACTGTGGCTTCCGCGTCAGGTGAGTATTTACCTTGCCGTGATTCCCCCGGGCGAGGCAGGGAACCCGGAAAGGGTGTTCCTAGCACCTACATTTGCAGGATTTGTTTTCTTTTTAAAGAAGCCCCAGATGGAGTTATTTCTATGAAAGCAGTTAGGAAACAGCCAACCTGGGTCGCCTAGCTTGGGATGCACCCTGGCTGTCCTTCGCATTAACAGTTCAAGTGACCTTCGTGCCTGCGTTTGCCTACTGCACTGTATAACCCAACTTCTCAGCCTTTAAAGAGTGTGGATGTGTAAGATGTCTAAGAGCTGAAGTCCACGTATCATAAAATCGCCAAGTTATGGTTGTTTTAGCCCGTCCAGGGCAAGTTAAGGCTTTGAACCAGGGATCTTCTGCAGGGAGTAATGGGTTTCGCCACCAAGAGAGTTAACGCTCGAAGTGCAAGGTGCAGAAGCTATGATCGGACCAATCCCATAGTTTTGGCTGGGAGGAATGGAATTCCAGGTTCCTCAGAAACAACTAGCCCAGTGGTTCTCAACCTTTTTAATGCCGCGACCCCAACGGGTCATAAGTCGAGGACTAAACCGGTCGTAAGTCGAGGACTACCCAACCGGTCGTAAGTCGAGGACTACCCAACCGGTTGTAAGTCGAGGACTTTCCCTGCCTGGGAGCGCCGCACATGTGTGGTTCCGCCCCCTGCGCCGGCTGAGGCGTAGGTGGCAAGCGGCAGAGACGGAGCAGGCCGACCACCAGCTGGCCCAGCCCAAGGGAGGTAAGGCACCCGCCGGAAAAGGGGAAAACAAATGGCGGACAGCCTTGCTTGGCGACCCCCGTGAAATGGTCGATCGACCCCAAATGGGGTCCCGACCCACAGGTTGAGAACCACTGAACTAGCCAGTTGCAGACCTACAGCTGGTCTTTACTAAATCCACATTTTCTTTTTCACAAACTATTTCCTGTCCCTTTTTGTTTGGCAATGCGTTTCAAAACCTGAAACCTATTCAATCTCATGGTGCACTTAGAAAAATAAATTGTATAAAGGTGGTATGTGAATACCTTTATCCTCAGGGATTCTTTTGTCACTGCTTCACTTGTGGAGAACATAAATTTGGAAGTCACTTCCCCAATACTAATGAGATGATAAAAATACGTTTATTGCTGCTCTCTTGTAGTTTAAATTTAGGAATAAAAAGACTCTGGATCAGGGGTGTCAAACTCGCAACATCACGTAAGGTGTTGCAAGGTATCGCGACTTCTTTGCCATTGCTGGCAATGGGGTGGGTGCGGTTTCGCTATGATGCATCTGGCCCACAGGCCAGCAATTTGACACCCCTGCTCTGGATCATGGTTTTCTCATACTGCATCCAACAGAACCTAAGGATTCTGCAAGGAATTCTATGACAGAATAAAACCAAAAAGCTTTTTAAAAGTTTATTCTTATTCAGGCAATTTTCTATCACTAGTTTTGCCTTTTCTTCAGAGATCTGTGAACTGTTTTTAACATGCTCTATGGCCTGCTGTAACCATTACTGAAAACAGGTTTTGAAAAGAAAATACCTCATTGAGAAGTTCCTGAAATGTTGAACAGAAATTTCTCACAGAAGTATTCCTTTAAGCATATTTTAAAGAAATTACAGGAGTTGCAATTCAACATATTGGGACATCTGGTTAAACAAAGACTGCTCTAACTTCACAGGCGATATATGCACAAAACTTACATAATGTACATTTCTTATAAGGCTATAATTTTTGGATCATTATACAGCCACTATTGGCCCAGTTTTGAATGGTTCACAGCCCAGTAGTGGGCTACGGCCTGGGGGTTGGGGACCCTGAGTTAGATCACACTAAGCTTAAATGTGATTTCCTTGCTTTTGATCTCATCTATTAATTAAGCCAGAGCTTATAAACTTACAAGCCATAGCTTATAAACTTATAAGCCATAGCTTATAAACCGATGGAAACTAATCAAGGAGAGAAGCAACCTAGAACTAAAGAGAAACTTCTTGACAGTTAGAACAATTAACCAATGGAACAACCTGCCTCCAGAAGCGGTGAATGCTCCAATACTGGAAGTTTTTAAGAAGAGACGGACAGTCATCTGTTCGAAATGGTATAAGGTTTCCTGCCTGAGCAGGGGGTTGGACTCGATGACCTCCAAGGTCCCTTCCAACTTTTTTTATTATTATTATTATTATTATTATTATTATTATTATTATTATTTAAAATTTAGACTAGCAGTTTATTCAGTAATCCAGTATTAAGCAACCATAGCTTAACATGCTGTTTAAATTTAAAATGGTGTCAGTACATAGATAGCCTTATTATCATATGGGTTGTTAAATATTTTATACACACATTAATTCATATATCTTGTGTTGCATTTTTAATATTTTGTGTATGGGTACACTTTATTGAAATAGCACATTTACACAACTGTAAAAACTGCAGTTTTGTCTACTCAATAAAAATGAACTAAACAATGTTTTTCAGCATTTAACAGTTTAATATTTTCTTTGTCAAGGGGTCTTAAAAACATGTTTTTAGAAGTTTGGAAACTTTTTAAAATTAAATTTCAAACTCTTTAACTTTACATGATATTTTTAAATTAAAAGGGTAACTTGACAATGAACTTAAAAATAATAAATTTTGATTGCATGGTTATATGTTTTATTTTCTGCTCCCATCCTAGAATGACGTCATTATACCTGAAGAAATTACTGGATCTGGCTAGAAGGAAAGAAGTGAATTCCATAACTCGGTATATTACCAGCTTTACGATGCAGCCAGAGAAAAATACAGCAATAGCTCAGATTTGGCTAAAAGCACTACACGATAAGAAAGGCTCTTACAGTCGAGCATTCTGTACAAAAGTCATTGAAGAGAAAACAAAAAAGAAAAATGCCAGAGAAATATTTGAAAGTGTTGGGAGGAGAATCCCATACAACAAGATACAACTAATTGATGAGAATGGCGAAGACATGGGAGAAATGCATAGGGCAAATGTACTTCGTATCATGGATGAAAGAGGGATGATTCTTGTCCTGTTGTCTGAGAAAACAGATCCACCCAAGTATAGACTAATGACAGGAAAACAAATTTATGAAGAGCGCCTCAAAATTAGAGATGAGAAAGCCAGCCCCAAAGCAGGTATGCATAGTTTCTGTGAAAGATACTGGCAATTCAGATGTTATGCTAACTCCCAGTTTATTATAAACTTTGGTTAATCTAGCCATGGTAGCCTGGCTCGCATAATACATTAAACCAGGGGTGGGCAGAGTTTTGTGAATAAGGCCATATTTCATTTTATTTAATTTCCACATAGGACAAGGGCATGTCCTCATTGAATTGGACAAGACTGGGGTGTGTGTGTATGTTTGTGTTTGTGCTTGTTTTTACTTTTTAACTGAAGTGAACTATATCCTATTAACAAATTGAAAGGAACTAGTTTAACTCATGGTCTTATTTTAACAGGGCCTGTTCAACAGAAGATCATCAAAATGTCCACAGTTACAGAGCAACACGATTTCAGTACAAAAGTAAAACAAATTCAAGAATGGATTGACAAGAAGTACCATGTGAAAATTATGCTGCATCAAAAATCTATTTCAGATGGACCTGAAAAGATGGTAAGCTTATTGGAACATTTTGAGGTATGATCTCTTGGCAGAGATCATAATATTCTAAGTTGGTTTCCTGCCAAATGGAAAAAAAATTGTGTTTCACTTCCCAGCATCTTTCACTATTGCAATGGAGGCTGGGCTGCTTGTAATTCAGCATCACCAAGGGGGGCTTTAGGCTCTCGGTCTGAAGGTAAGGACTGCCAGGAAGTGGTTTCATTTGGGTCAAAAGAGTAAAAGTTTATTTGCTTTGCACTGCCTACTACTACATTTGTCAGTGAAATAATATCCTTTCCCATTTATTGCTACATATAATTGGAATTACAACATTACTTGAAGGAAGCATCATTAAAACCAGAAAGAGTATATATTAGCTTAAAATCAATACTCTTGGGTGCATGACTTAGAAATTGTAAGATGTAGCGAGCTTCACAGAGAGTAAAGTTGGGAGCAGTAACAGCTGTACATTTTCAGAAAGATAGGAATACAACTTTCATTCATGCTCATGAAGATCTGCAAGCCAGTATTTAAACTGTTTGAATTTTGGTTTGCTAGTTTCAGGATCCATTGGGGTATTTTATTTGTATAAAATAGAGTGACTTGTATGTAACAACATCCCTTAATTGATGCAAAAAATATTCAAACTGTTCATTAAGCCAATTCGTCTTATTTTCAGTTAACATTTTTTGATAAGATTTTGGATACAATGCGTGAGAAAGCCACGTATCACTCCATGCCCTCTATTGCTGCAGAAGGAAGGAGTACTTGTATATTGAGACATTTATCAAAGAAAGAGATCCAGAAATTAAATCTTGTGGAAAACATTCAGAAGAATGAAGACATTCAGAAGAATGGAAGCAACGTTATGGACTCAGATGTAACCAAGCAGTGATAGTTTTTTCTCCTAAAAATGGAATGGAAAAAGAATACAAGTCATTTTGTCGTTTCTGTACCAATACAGATTGGCCTTCTGTACCAATTCTATAAACTTGGCAATGGCCACCTTCTCAAAGCCACTTCTTGTGAGCATGTCTCATGATGACTGTTAGGCACATCTAAAACTGTTGTCAACGAATAGCATTTCAGCCATCAGCAGCCTGCTGTTTGCAGCTTGCTACAGATGCGGGTAGAGATTCTTCCACTGAAGATAAATTTCTTCGCTGTACTTTTGGAGGGATATATCCACTGAGGTGAGAGGCCAGGCTCCGCTTTTGCTGTGGTTTCTGAGGAAGTAAGATCCAAAAGAAAGAACTGTAATGGAATATCCCTTTTTTGTCATTAAAAACAGAGAACAGTTAACAATAAAATTGACTGTGACTTGCTGTTTGGCCAACTCGGTTTTGGAATATCACAGCAGAATTAAGGGAACCTTAAATCAATTTGGAAGGAGGGAGGGAAATTTGGAAGGAGGGAAGGAAATTTAACCAGACTGAGCCACAGCAACGCATGGCCGGGTACAGCTAGTCATGAATAAGAATTGCCTGTATAACCCTTCCCCAAGAGAATCTTACTAGTTATTATACAGTTGCAAAAGATTTGTATCAGAGCAGATAATTTCAGATAGATTGGTCCAATCAGAACTAGTACATTGGGTCCAGATCTGGACCAAAGGTGAATTATTCCAGATATGGACTGAAACACAGCTGTTACATGCAAAAATATTTTGGAGAAATAATGATCGGAAACAGCCAAAGACATTGGTGAAGGAAATAAAGGAGGAGCTAGGAAGATCATGGAAGTATTTGGGCTATTGGGACATATATTGAGAAAAGGGGAGGGAGGGCCCAATGGGCTGAAGCCTGGCCCTACTTGCCATAAAATCATTTTAGGATCTCTGTAAGCTTTGTTCTGACTTAAGAACAAGAAAATCTGTATTTTGTTTAGCTGAGCCCAGAAGTACAAAAATGTTCTGGATTTTGTTTTGACCAAACCATGACTTATTCAGAGAAGTTCAGGAGAACTTCTGGAATGCAGTGTGTTTCATGTTCAAAATTATATACTTGTTCCATTTTTGTAAGCTCCTACTAGGAGAAAATTCAAGAATGTGACTTACCTTTTTGTCCAACCTTTTCTTATTAGGATCGTGTAGTACCATGTGCCTTATGAGGCTTTGCTGTAAAGAATAAAAATATTTTTATGACCTGAAATAGAAGATGAACAATATTTATCAAATAATAGTGTTTAAAATGCCTACTTTCATTGCAAAAATCTTCCCGCAGCCAGGGTGGTCACACACGAAAGGTTTTTTTGCCTCATGAAATGAGTGAATATGACTTTGAAGGTTGAACACGGTTGTGTATGTTCTTTTACAGCCCTCCTTTGGACATTTAAAAACTTCTCTGTCAACGGCATGTGTTTTCATGTGACATTTCAGATAATCTTTGCGAGTCAATGTTTTGGAACACACTTGACAGGTAACTGGTTCTAGTGGAAAAGGAAAAACAAGAGGCAGAAGCAGAGTCCTAAGCATAATTCTTTAAATTTCTTCCCAAAGAACAATATTACTATCAGTGCATTACTTTGACCACTATATTAAATAATGGTTGTGCAGCATTCAGGTTCAGAAAGGAAAGATACTTTGAGGTTGAGAAATGCTCTCGTAATTTCTTTAAGCAACTTTTTTTTTTCCTGGATTGCATAGCTGCGATACAATTTTAGGAGAAGAGAATTTGATTTAAATCAGGAGTTTCCAACCAGCAGCCAACAGCCACATGTGATCTTGGATAGCCGGTAATGCAGCCCCACAATACTATAAACTTTTAATATTATGTATATTCATATACATTAACTATATTATATATCTTATGTATGGTCCAAGTGGCAAGCCAAAAAGTTGGGCATGCCTGGTTTAAGTGGTTATTTTATTTGAATTTATTAGTTGTCCAAATTCTAAAGAACAAATGATACATATATATATATATGATAGGCAACACTTCAAATTTAAGAACAAATCAAACCATTTATAGAGCATCTGAATAGGAGTATAGCTGCTATGTTTATATGTTACTTGAGGATCAGACACATTTCTGAATACCAGTCCATAGAAACAGATGAGTCTCATTACATCACATGCTTCTTGTGGACTTTTCAAACTTATCTAGCTAGTCACAGCTGGAAAACAGGACAGTGGACCCACTGAAACTTCTGTGTGGTCCTATGAGCATGTCTTATACTTGCACTTCTATTGTAAGTATCTACATATTCATCACACGTATTATGTGTGAGAAGCTGTGAATCAACAATTGATATATTTACGGAAAAACTTTATTTTATTCATAAAGATGGAAATAGAGCACAGGTAGTCGTCGACTTACAACCATTTAGTGACAGTTCAAAATTACAACGACACTGAAAAAAAGTGACTTATGACAGTTTTTCACACAACCATTGTAGAATCTCCATGGTCATGTGATCAAAATTTGGATGCTTGGCAACTGGCATGTATTTATCATAGTTGCAGTGACCCAGGGTCATGTGATCACCTTTTGCGACCTTCTGACAAGCAAAGTCAATGGGCAAGCCAGTTTCACTTAACCATGTTACTAATTTAGCATCTGCAACTGATTCATTTCACAATTGTGGCAAGAAAGATTGTAACATGAGGCAAAACTCACTTAACTGTCTTGCTTAGCAACAAAAATATTGGTTGTAAGTCCAGCTCTACCTGTAACGGAAGAAATATTCAATGGACTCTAACATGAATTAGCTTCTTTTTAAATAACAGGAATACTGCATAACTTTTAAGATGTGTTTATCAATCAATGTATGCTGCCTCAATTATGAAAGTAACTCTACAGCAACTTTAAAACTTACCCACATGACTGAGTCTCATATGTTTCAGGTATTCTGACCAGGTTTTTCCAACAAACAAACAACTCTCTTTTTTGCATGCATAACCTATAACAAAAACTGATGTTAACTGGCTTCAAAAAAATAAATGCATATTTTACACCTTTATTATTTTTACAAATAATTCAAGGCAGTGAACATATTAAACAAACCTTCCTCCTATTTTCCTCACAACCACCACCCTGGGAGCTGGTTTGGGCTGAGAGAGTGACTGGCCCAAGGTGACACAGCTGGCTTTCAGGACTAAGGCAAGACTTGAACTCACGGTCTAGGGCAGGGGTGTCAAACCGATGAGTTATGCCGAAACCGTGCCCACCCCAGCTCCGGTAATGGGGAAAAAGTCACGATACGTCACGACACGTCATGTGACATTGCGAGTTTGACACCCCTGGTCTAGGGCCTTGCTCATTTTGCATAGTGCCTTCTGCTTATAAAGGGGGAGGGCAGAAGAAATATAATTGTTTAGATGTCACTGAACTGCAAATCCTCAAATTTCATTTGCACAGCTATAATAAAAGAAACTGGGAGTTACGACAGCAAGCTCTTACTCTCCAGCTGTGCAAAAGGGAGTAAAAAAACTGACTCACTTGCAGAACCTTAGTATAGCAAGTGCAAGCACAGCTGCTTACAGTGAGCTAGGGTTAAAAACAATGAATATATGGGGTATAAATGAGCATTAAACAAGGCAACACAGACTTGGCAACTATCATTAATCAAGTGGATGAACTTTCTAAAACAAGTTACTTTTAAGACAAACTTCCCAATAAGAGAGCCGCTCTAAATATATAAAAGAGGCTTTCAAAAAGAGGATTTAAAAATATTGTACCATATTTCTGCAATTCCTTTACAGATATAAACATTCCTTAGTGATTACAATTGGTACCAGCAAGGTTAGTAAGTAAAACATTACATGATTGTGACAGACTTATACATCATTTACCATTCCGCTGTTAAGCAAATCACTGCAGACTATTAAGTGAGACATCATATGGCCTCAACTTAGGATTTTATAGCCAACATCTGCACTTTCTATGCTTATTTACTATTTTTAAAAAAACTATTCAGAGTTCTCTCATTCGATCTACACTTTTTATTTGCATTGCACCTCAACTGTCTAATTTATATAATATGTTGTTTGTTTCCGGCTCTTGTGTGAATTCCTTTAGTGTAGCTTATTCAACTAATCATGGTTAAAACCACTACGTTATCCCAATTCTTACTCTTTTAGCATTACTGAAACAAAGGAATAATTACCTTGGTGAATCTTCTCGTGACGTTTTAAATGGCTGGGTGAAGAAAAGCGCTTTCCACATTCTTCATGACCACATCTGTGGGACAACAAACACAGTCGCTCAAAATGGAAATAGAGATCACTGCTTATGAACTGTGAGGTATAAACTCTCTTGCGACTGAAAGCAAACTTTTTTCCTTCAGTTCTTCATTCTGTAACATCACCTTTCAGTAAAAACATTCAGAGAAGATTCTCTGCGTTCAGATCAGGAAGGCAAAAATATGACTAAGGAAATGCTACATATATATCCCCTTAAATTCACAGATTATGTTTAGTTTTATCATGTATTTTGATGTATAACTACATTAAATAAATTTAACAGTCATTGTCTACTAAACAAATAATAAACACAAGCCAAAGTGAAAACTGGAAATTTCTGAGGTGCTTAATCAGATACTGTGGTTGGAAAGTACAAAACTCAGATCAATTTAAACAATCAAAGAAGAGGGGATAGAAAATAACAAGTGTAAAAATTGGTACTTGTAATTGAACAAGTATTTTCTCAGAAAAAGTACTTCAGAATATGAATGTGTACTGTTTTTATATGAGGTACCAATTTTCACACTAAAATGTTAAAAGTATAATGTTCACCAGATCAGAGAGAAGAATGAGCAGTGAGCTTAATATTTCCTGTCACATATTATATGAATTTAAGATATGCCAATCCTATCTGAAGACCTTTAATAATATCTTCCTTATTGTAACAATTTCTAATTCCTACTTGCAGGTATCCTTAAAGTTATTAATAAAATTCATTCTCAGATTTTAACTAAATAGGCAAAGTGTCAAAATGTTTCACTTACTTGAAAAATGGTTCACCAGTGTGTTGAGACTGATGTATTTTTAACTGCTGGTGCTTTTTAAAAGATTGCCCACAATTTTCAAAGTCACACTGTTTGGAAAATCAATTTGGTTACAGTCAGAGAAAACCCACAATAAACTCATAAATTATGATATATTTTATCATTTATCAAAAGGCTTACTATATAATTGTACAAATTAGCAAAAAGGACTCCAAATTATCAGTAATTAAACCAATGTAGTTTAGAGAATGCACCAAGGCTGCAATTAATCTGCACAAACAAACCTCTTTCAGAATGTAACCTGCCCACTATGGCAAGAAAAAAAAATCCCTTGTCTCTTATCATATCTAACAAACTGAAATCTACAAGGATGTACACCATCTTCTATTACTGCAAAGGAGAGCAGGAGGAGTGGGATAGGCTTGCTGATCTACAACCTAAGTAGGCAAGATCAACTAAGTTCACAAAACTTTCTAAACCAATTGATTAAGGCTTATATGTACAACTTCAACCATGGTTGGTATATGCGAAATAGCCAACACTTATCAAAGCATTATGCTTTCCAGATGCTGGAGACTTCCAACAGATGTTGGAGACTTCAATATACCATTAACCTGGCCCTTAATCTGGCTGAAGATTATGGCAACAAGTCTAACACATTAAGAATGCCAGAGTTGTGTTGACTTCACTAAATTACACAAGTTTCAAGAACTACTTCCTCGTGTCTGGAATGAAGTAGCGAAGAAATAGAGGCACTTACTACATATTTTCTCTGATGATGTCTCCGTAGAACATGCTTGTTCAAGTTTGATTTTGTTGTAAACTTTTTATTGCAACCATCTACTGTGCATCTATAGAAATATTAAAGTATAATCAAACAAAAATGGATACATTGTAGTAGATGCATCTAAAACAAATATCTGATTTTAAGTAACTTCCTAAAAATAAACACATTGGTTTAAGCCAATAAGCTTAGACTGATGTTTAACATGTAAACTACATCTATCTAAATACATAAACTACATCTATCTATCAACATCTACCTAAATAAAAAATATTTTTATGTTGTCAGCAGTACTACATTTATTTCCTTTCTGCTAAACATACTAATATACTTTCAGTCAATAAAAAAACTTGCAATCTAGTTATTTTACACAATTGATAACACTGAGATATATGAATAATCCACTAAATTATAGAAACATGTTGTAAACTATACAAACTGGTGTCAGAATTGTTTAGGACTTTTGTTGCCCAAATGATAATATACTTACACAAATTGTTTTTCTCCAGTATGTGTAAGAAAATGACGCTTAAGGTGGAAACCTCTAGTGAAGCCTTTTTCACAGCCTTCAAAAATGCAAACAAAGGGTCGCTGGTAAAATTAAAAAAATTAAAATTAAAAAAAATATATTTTAAAAATTTTGTTTTAGTTCTCTTTTTAAATGTCTACTTGCTTTCTCAGGTCCCATCCATGTCCATTTTTCTCTACTTCCTTTTCTGTTGGTGATGAGCAACTATTATTTTCCCAGAGTTACATTAGAAATTTCTCATTTTGCCAATCTGGTCTTAACAGAAACTTACCTATTATTGTCTATAGCCACCAAGTTAGAGGCCATCAATTCACAGACCTGATTCACAATCAACAAGCAGCAAACTTTCCAGTTACTCAAACATTTCCATAATTCGTTTTTAGCCATCAAAATTGATCCATAATTTAGATGAAAAAACCATGTTTTTAAAACAACGGGATAACAGAGTAACACATATTAAGGATACTTGACTGAATAAATCCTGTGTTAGGGTACTTTGTTTCCTAATAGGTCCTGATGAGAGGACGACTTTTTTTTGGTGTCCAGCTTAAACCCATAATGCTCCAATAGAGAACAACTAGTACTAGTCTTGTGGAAAACGAAAGAACTCTTACGAATTCCAGAGGGGTTTAGCAGAGAAGTTTATTTGCGCAAGGTCCAGAAGCATATTAGAGATAGGCAATTCTGAATGAGGAGGGTGGGATTAGACTTCAGTTTTTATACTCCCCTCCTTTCAGGAACAAAGGGACTACACATGGTAATACACTGTAATACATTTGGTTCGTTTCTCACGGGCATACAATGGAAGGTTTTGCTACATACAAAGTATCCATGTGCAAAGCGCATTTGGTTGCCACATATTACTGACACAGAACTTTCCCAGTGAATTTTCCCAGTGATTATGCATTACCTCATTATTCTAGCAATTATGCAGACACATCATTATTCTAATAATTGTTCATTTTGCTACATTACTAGTATTTTATCTTCTCTGCTAACCTTTATTTACCTGAATGTTTAGACGAAAATACACAACTTAGCACTGCACTGAGGAGAAGGTCGTAGGTTAATTTGCTTCTTCAAATGATTCTGGGGACCAAGAAGCAGCAGTTAAAACTGTCAACCCAGTGTAAAATGAGTTGCATATAGTCCATCACCATTCTACAGTAAAATTTGTATACAAGTTTTCATTTTTATTTTTATCCCACATTAATATCAATTAGTTGAGAACGTAATATGTAAAATTAAAACTAATACGTCAGATTAAGTACTTGGAAGTCTGGAGCTCCCCACTTTTGTAAGGAGCCCAAGAGATTTAATAAAAGAAATAGCAGCAATTTAATTCATGGTATATATCAGCNTAATTATTTGCGGTACGAGTAACCCAGAGAAACAGACGCCAAGCCAAAGAAACGAACAAACACCTCAGTTCCCATAGCAACCGCCGCGCATGCGCTTCTCCTGAATAACCGCCCTATCACAAAGTTACTTCTTACCGATTGGTCATTCGCCCACCTCTCACGTTCCAATGGAAACCGCCGCACTCCTTCCGCAAGGCTCTGTTTCCGCCCTCCGCCCAGCACTCCGCGCCAACGGTTGGTCGTCCCGGGAAATGTTTTCCGAGCGATAACCCAATCACCGCTCTAGCTCCTGCCCGCCAGGTACCCTTTTTGGCCCCCACCCCACTTCATGCTCCCGTACCTGGCCCGTGTGCCGACACAGGTGCGCGTCCAGTTTCCAGCCCCGGTTGAAGGTGGCATCGCAAAATGGGAACGAGCAGATGAATAGCTGCTCCTGGGGACGGAAACGGCTCCCCCCAAGATGAGAATGTTTGTGCTTCGGAGACTGAGTCGCGGTGGTAGCGGCGGCGGCGGCCGCCTCCCCGACAACGAAGTCCTCTCCGGCCATCTTTGGACCATAAATCATGTGATTGTGCCGTAACTCCACCTCTCCTATATTCGCGCTTCACGCTTTCTGAAGCTTAACAATTAGGAACCTCCGCCCTCAAGAAAACGCGGGTCCTGCCGCGGAGACTGCGCGAGGAGAGGGGAAAATGGTTCTGGCGCATGCGCGCTAGTACGTTTCTTTTTCTCCTAAGGCAGGGGTTCTCAACCTTGGCAACTTTAAGACTTGTGGACTTCAACTCCCAGCAAAGCTGGCTGAGGAATTCTGGGAGTTGAAGTCCACAAGTCTTAAAGTTGCCAAGGTTGAGAACCCCTGTAACCTAAGGGGACGTTGGCTCAGGTTGGGCCCTTTCGTGGGACGTTCAGTTTCACTTCTCTTTTTTTTTTTTCACCTGTGGATTTTTAAAACTCTTCACTCGTATTTGGCCCGACTCTTCATTGTCCCTTATAAAATAATTACCAACAGCCTTTCGAAGCTTTCTTGCTTTCAAATATTTAATTGCAGTTCAGTTTCCAACTGCTTAGATTGCGCTGAAAATGCTTTGAAAGAATTGTCCATGAACGGCAAGATATAAATAATCACAATTTTAAGAGATATTTTAATATAAACCTGGATATGCCTTCCATTCTATTTCCTGTCCATCAGTGTTCCTTAAGCAGATAGAAATAATGTACAGCAAGATGTGAGCTTGTGACGCTTTGATTGCCCATCTTGGCCTACAAGGTTTATATAAAATGTTTATTTAATAAGCTTGTATGTGGCTTATTAATAAGCGGAATTGCATTTTGCCACACCAGCAAAATTGTGATATGTTAAGAAACTTCACCTCTTAACAAACACCTTTTTGAATAAAGTCTTAACTTCCTGAAAATTAAATTGTTAATGTTTCATATAAAATTTTCCTTTGAAATTCATTCATTGGCTAAAGGACAGATTCCACTGTTTATTTAACATCAGATTGGGACATCTAACTGCATTCTAAACATTCCTATATATAGGCATTGTAAAGCCAGATTTTTAAGAAAATAGAAGAAGCAACATTTTTAACTGCTTTGCCCAACTGTGGGAATTGAAGTCCACACATCTTAAAGTTGTTGAAATTAAGGAACTGAAGAGAGCTGATAAGAGAGAAGATAATTTCAGTTTAAATTCTCTAAGATTATTTTGAAGTAGTAGCAGTGAGAACCTTTATTTATTCCCAAAATATTTAGAAAGCATTGTAATGTATTTGATGACAAAAACCTATTTTCACCCCAGAGAGGATAGCTGGATTGCTTGTAAGTTGTTCAAAGAGGCTAAAACTTCTCATCAATAGAATTATCAACAGACAGTGATGTAGGGGGTACCCAATTGCCCTGTTGTCACTCAGATTTACAGAGAAAATATGGCAGTTTATATCTTCTGGAATAAATGAACAGATACATGAATAGGAGGGAAATGATAACTCCAGCATCAACATATACCAGCCTTGTAAGGTGCTAGGCCAGGGGTGTCAAACTGCCAGCCCGCAAGCCGGTTGCATCATACAGAGGCTGCGCCCAACCCAGGTCCGGCAATGCAAAAAAAGTTGTGATATGTTGTGACACGTCACGTGACGCGGCGAGTTTGACACCCATGTGCTAGGCCATGGAAGTTGCATAGTTTAGTTAATATTTGCACTTAGTCCAGGGCTAGCCAAATGTGGTCAGCAGGCAGTATACCTGTCATCCTAGAACAGGGGTAGTCAACCTTGGCTCTTTTATGACTCGTGGACTTCAATTCCTAGAATTCCTGAGCCAGCTTAGCTTTGCTGGCTCAGGAATTCTGGGAGTTGAAGTCCACGAGTCATAAAAGAGCCAAGGTTGACTACCCCTGTCCTAGAATGTTGCTAAGCCAAGCTGCTGAATGTTAATTGCAAAAATATGAATGGGGAGGAAGGGATTTGTTTATTTTACTTTGGGAAAAACAAAGAACAAAAATGGTGCTTTAGGTTTCTACTTTATGCCACTCTTCATAGCCATGCTTTTAGCAACCAATAAATACTGGACACTGAACACAACGTTTTGCATAAGCAGTTACACCTGAATGTCATTGATATTTCTCAGAATGCCATTGATACAGCATTGTACCTGGTATTCTGGAAAACTAGGCAGCATCTCAGAGGCTTTGCTCAAAACATTGCTGATCCAACTCTAGATGAATTTGAACCATATATTTATGTATACATATTTGTTCAATATGCATGATTGCTAATGCTTTTATTCTGGGCAGCTAAAACTGTTTAAAAATAAGATAAAACCACACAACAACATTATAATGAACATATATAGCACCAAGAAAGAACAACTAATCAACACAATCATGATACTGGTTCAGCCACATCAGGATCTATGACAAAGTTTTCAGGGCCTTAAAATACTGTTAGTGCATTCTGGAAGATTTAATAGAAATATAATGCAAACCATGTTTTCTGCATTGTCTTAACGTAGTGGAAGAAGCAAAAGCCACTGTTTGTTCCCATGTCATAAGGGACTGCCTGTTTTTTTTAGTTCTATCTCTTCCTGTCTAAAGAGAAAACACCATCCTTCAATCTTGATGTTTTCTTTCCCCAAGGAAATAATCAATACATGAAATAACGAGGTGCTTTGTCTGCTTTGCACATAAAATGAATGACGCATTCTTTACCTAAGAGCAAGGCTGGCAACATCTCATGGGAACTAGAAAAGCCTATCTGAAGAGGCAGAAGTATAAAATTCCTGATCAAATGATTCTGTGTCAGCACTATGAGGAAGCTGACTGTAGTAACTCTAAAAACATTAAATGCAGTTTGGTAGGGTATACCCCTGGTTTTTAATTTCTATTTAGTAGCAATAGGCTTATCTAGGCAACTTTCCCATACCTATCACAGTACACTGTAAAAAGAACAATGACTCATCATTTTAGCAATTAAAATGATACACTGGGAAATTTTTAATTCCCATGATCAAAGCAATTATGATTGTTGCGTGTCTAATAAACCTTCCACCTGTCAACAGCCCTTTTTTAATTAAATGCAAAATACTTAGCAATACAGACAAAGAAAATACCAAAGTCAGTTTATAAATTTTGAGCCAATATTTTAAATCCCTGTTTCTAAAGTTCATTATTTGATAGAATTCACCTTATCTGTAGTCCCTATCTAGTCATAATTGTGTGTGAGAAAGAAAACAAACTAGCATAAAATATTTTTTCTTCTGAACTCCCAGTAATAAATGGAAGTGAGATTTCATTTTGGGGGCATTTTTTTGCCCTAAATCATAGAGACATAGAGCTGCAATGAAACTTTTCAGGACAAAGAAAAGAAAGCCAAAGAACTTATATTTAAAAAAAGAAAATGCTTCACTCTTTTGTTAAAAAACATACATTTATTTTTATATCTATTAATATATGAAAGAAAGAACTGGATTTATAGCTACAGCATGAAATTTTGTAGTTCAGTCTTCCAGTTGAAAAGAATCCTGGCAGAAATGTGTATCACATTAAAATAATCAGTAAGATACATTTATTACTGAAAACAACATATTCTGTGATAGAATGTACCCTATGTACAGTATATGCATACATAGAAAATGCTTGAACATAGAATTGTATATCAGGAGAAATTGAAACAAAAATGCCTTTTCCTACAAACATTTTTTAAAAAATAATCCTGAACTGAATCTAATAAAAGCTTTCAATGCCATAATGCTGAGTCCCACATTAAAATCATGAACATGTGAGGAACCATGTTTTAGAAACATCATTAAATTTGTAAAGCTGATTACGGAGTCATACAGAGATACAGTAGACAATCATTTATTTTTACTTTTATGTGTGTCTTGATTTTATTGCAGCTTTCCCCTCAATTGATCTAATAATTTATCATGTCTAGAGGACTCTTTCCATTTATGAATATTGAAAAAAGCATTAATTGCAGTAATCTGTGATGCTAAAGAACAAAAATGAGGTGACCCCCTTTAAAAAAAACCAGAATCATTTTATGTTGGAAGAAAAGGGTGGATTTTTAATCATTTGAAGAAATTAGGGATGAAGGTCCTTCCTATTAATTTACACAAATAATTCCAGCATTTTTAACGAACTTAAATGTTTCCATATTTACACAGCTAAAATGGGCCAGAATCAAGTAGGATGTTTTCTATTACACTTTTACTAATAAGTAAAGTTCTGTAAAGCAGTAGGTTTTTTCATAGGAAGCTATGCTTAAGAACATGGTAAAGAAGATGGTTTTAATAATAAGCATTGATTGATCTATATTTGACTTTGCCACTTTTTAAAACAATGTCAATCACAGCATTTGGCAAACTTAAAGAGCCCTTCCATATACAGCACAAGCAAGCACTCCATCAGCCTTTGGGATAGGAAGCACATCTGTCTTCTCTCTAGTTCCTTTCCTAAATGTCTCCTTCAATTAGATTTTATTGGAGGGACGGGAGTGAGTTGTAAATTCTCCTTTTTGTTTGAGGTTTGTTGGTCAGGTTAACAATGCCCCCTGTGATGACCAACACAAGATGTTGCATTCAGGAAAGAGGTGCACTCAAGTAAGAGGAGATCTTTGTGACACTATCTCCCAATATGGTCCCCTTGCCCAGCTAATCACATTAGCACAAGAGAAAAGAGGTAGCCACTAGACAGCCCAATAAAGAAAAGGAGAAAAGCAAGACTAATCTTGTTAAAAAAGAAGCAAAGATAGACGCTACTATTACACAGCAGTTTATAATGGGCCAATTTTCCCAGGGTTGGCATCACCTGTACCAATCTCCCAAACTTGCAAAAATGGAAAGAAAATCTGTGTTTTCTTTAAAAAAAAAAAGGCTTTAAAGCAAATCATGTTTTTCATGTTTTTTAAATTATTGGGACAATAGCTTCTATAAGTATGTGTGTGTGTAGCATATATGGAACACATACGCACATTCACATTTATAGGTACACACAGAAAGAAAGCCATTTCAGGACTTCCTTGTAGACGAGTAAGTAATATATTCTGCATTCCATCACTGGATTA